CTTAAGTTTCTCTCTGGCTAAATGGGAAGGATGCATTGGCTTGGCACTTATGCTGCTGATTGCAATACAGAAATTCAGTGGTTATCTTAAGAAAAAAAAAAACCCTTGTGTTATTTGCCTATGTGCCAAACTAACCACTTTTTTTTATGGAACAGTTTTTACTTGAAACAATAACTAATGAACAATCTATGATTCTTCGTTTGGGGCTATTTGGTAGACATTATACAGAAAATGAATGAAGTGAGCCTTTCCTTTCAAGCAAAACTACAGATATTAGTATTTGTTGCCAGTGATACAATTTGAGCTTGCATATGAAAACTGAAGTTTTGGAAAATCTATATCGCCACTGTAAACTTGAAAGTTTCCCAATACTTACAAGACTTTTCTGATGAGATCAGTGGTGAAAATAGTGAATGCAATGTTTTATATTATATAATGAAATGCATCAACCTTTGGAAGATATGCCAAACTCAGTAAACCAGTATTTTTCCAAATGACTAATGCTTAATATTTCAAAGTCATGCATAGGCAAAAGATTTAATCAAAGTGCAAGACAGACCAGCGGATTTTAATGTAATAGGATACAAAGTTAATTAAAGTCACATATCACAACTAACCTTTGAGAAACTACTACTTGGTGAGTTTTGGTGTAGTATCCAAGAAGAATATTCACAATTATCAAGGCAATTCTGAAAATAGTCCTCCCTTTTCTAACTTCATATCTTTATGAGGCCAGATTTAACAGATCAAATACAGAAACGTATGAGAATCTAGACGTCATCTATTAAGCAGTTACTAAAAAAAAAAATGCAAAAATATACAGGAATGCAAGTCTTCTCACTAAATTTTTTTGTTTTGGAAAATGTGATTTTTTATGAAAATATACATTTTAAAAATTGCCTATTTTAACTTCCAATATGGCCAATATCAATAGATATAAGCCAAATGACAAAAACGCTGGGATCTTTGATAATTTTCAAGAGAGTAAAGGGGTCCTAAAACCAAAAGATTTGAGAATTGCTGATCTATTTTGTGTTTGCAGAGTATTTATAATATTTATATAACTAAATTAAACATTATTAACAATAAAGACCACATAACTCTAATGATGAATGAGATATAGGAAAAAGGAGTGGGAAAATATGTACATAGGTCGTTTAGTTTTTTGGGTATTTTTTGTTTTTGTTTTTTGATGGGAGGAGCTGGCAGTATAGCAAGTGAGGGTCTAGATGTAGAAACAGGGAGGGCATATGTGGCCTTGAGCAATTTAGTCTCCTATCTGTGCTTCAGTTTCCTCATTGTTAAAGTGGCAATGATTCCAGTACTTACAGCATTATTTGGAGGATTACATGAGTAAATCGCTAAAAAGAGTATAGAATAGGCTTGGTGCTTAGAGTAAGTGCCCTGTCTGGGTCAGCTATTTTTGTTTAATAATAAACAATGAATTTGTGTCAGCAGGGATAAGGTCAGACCCACAGTTATGGCTTACAGGTGCTGACCCTGTCACCTCAATGGGATGACTGAAAGCAGGAAAATCCAGTCACTAGCCCCCAGAGACAAAATATCATGAAGCTGAGAAAGAACTTAGAATCTCCTAACCCCCTTCCTGCCCTAATATCACACTTTCTAATCCAGAATCACATCTGTTACCCCTGTGAGGTACATGGATGTGCTCCAAGGTTTCAGAGCAAATGATGTGAGGTTGGCTTGGTTTCATACGTCAGTTCCAGAGCAGTTATAATTTTTCTTGTTCCTGCACTGTGATTAATTTTCCCTTCAGCTCAGTTTGGCTGCCAGCAATCATTTGGAATTACGTTGATTTCAGCAAAGACCCACACAACGACCTTCACCTTTTAAAAGACACATGCTTTAAAGAAGGGGCTTGCAAATTTTTATAGTGAGAAGGATTCTTACTGAAACCATGGGGACATTTATTGCATAAGCAAATGAAATGTTTGTGAAATGGTTTTAAAAATTCTAATGAAAAATCTACTTCTGAAAGTAAGGAAGTTACCTCAAATTTTAAATTATATCTTAGTAGGACAAACAGTATATAAAATTCAGTTCCTGTATCTTCCTACCACCCTATATCAAGCAGGATAAATTTACGGTAATTGTTTTCTAAGGTTGCTGAGAATGTTGAGTTGAGAGTCTGAAACCTTGCCAAATTTGAATGTCACCTTCTCTCTGAGATGTGTCCTAAGTACACCATTTACCATTGGCTCCCCATTCTTCATTTTCCTTGAGGCACATTTCTCCATCTAACACACTATATATTTTACATAGGTATTTTGTTTAGTGTCTTTCTGCCTCAATATTGTGGCAGGAATTTTTGTACTTTTTCTTCAGTGATATGTTCCTGACTTCTAGAACGGGGTCTGGCCTATGGTAGGGACCCCCCACATCCAGCTTTTACCTTTAAATTGGGAATAAAAAATGTCCCTTGATTCATTGCATATCATGAATTCATACATAGAGCCTTTGAAGTAATAAATGAGTCTATGTTGCAAAAAAAAACCTGTTGGACCCAAGAGCATTTAAGTATTGTTCTGCAACCTGGCAATTGTATGAGCCAAAATATGAAACAGGGGCTCCAGGAACATATTCCAGGGGTCTTTCATTTTCATTCATCTAACATTATTCTTTGATGAATAGATGTCTTTAGTTTCAACCAGCTGTTCAGCTCATGAAAGCACAAACCTCTGTCTCACATACCCATACAGGACACTGTGCCTTAGTGGGGTTTAAAAAATAAATAAGGGATTGATGGCAGAAGTACCCCATTTTCCCCAAGTGATGTGTTCCAGTGCAATTGTACATGGAATATTTGAAAATCAAGTACCAAAAATGAGGGAACTTCACTACTTAAATTTGTTCTGTACTAAATATTTATTGTAAAGCACAGAATTCCTTTGTAACAACATGCTTTATAAGGTCATATTTTGATATCTAAGATTTTCTTAAATCAGTAAATTGAGACACACACACACTGGGTGTAGAATCCACAAGCTCAATTTTGGGCCAGGATGATGATTGATGAATAAGAAGTAGCTCCTTTAGAAGACTTGACTGGCACATGTAACCATTAGGAAATTATAAATAAAAGGTGGGGGGGATTGTGTGTTCTTTAAAAGCAAGGGCATCCTTTCATTCACCTTTGTTATCTGGAGTCTCGTAAAAGCATATTATAGGCATGCCATACCTATTTGGTGATTAAATAAAATCATGAGTAAGCAAATGATCAAATGCAATTAAGTACTAAAAAGATTTTTGGCTAGACATGGTGGTTCACGCCTGTAATCCTAGCATTTTGGGAGGCCAAGGCAGGAGGATTACTTGAGCCCAGGAGTTCGATACCAGCCTGGGCAACATAGTGAGATCCTGAAATAACAAAATAGTCAAGTGTGGTGGCACACGCCGGTGGTGCACCTACATAGGAGACTGAGGCAGCAGTATAGCTTGAGCCCAGGAGGTCAAGGCTGCAGTGAGCCATGATCACACCTCTGCACTACAGCCTGGTCAACAGAGTGAGACTCTGTCTCAAAAAGATACTAAAATAAAAGAAAATTTTAAGATTTTTAAAGAGTCTATAATGCAGTAAAAATTTACACAGAAGGAGTCACTGGAGACAGCCGCATGGAAGAGTTGCACCTTGTAGGAAATTAAGTCTTCAAATGCTAGAACAAAGGGTAAATAGGAATTCCTAACAAGGAGAGTAATCTAGATCTGTGCACCAATCGGTTAGAAGGACTGTGAGCAGCAACCTCCAATATATATTTATTTATATTTATACGTATGTTCCACTACATTAACAAGAAAAAAATTTAGACATACACAAAAATAAGATTTTAAAAGAAAAGTTAAAGATGAAATAAGTAATATTTTAAATTGTTATTTATTAATGGTATATCATTATTTCTATTGGGCATAAATCTACATTTCCAATAACCTTTTCAATAATTTTGAATATTGAATTTTATGGCTAACTTCCAGTCATATCAGATTGGATCACATTGCCTCAAAATATGGCTAATAAGGAATTTTAATAGGTATAAGAGATGTGTCAGCTAAGCCATTTTCTTATTTGCTCATGCCTACATTATTCATATTGTCCTTAATCCTCTGTTCTTTGAAGGAACTTAAATGACTTGTGAAAGTTAGCTTGGTTAAAGCTAGATAATAGAATCTACTCAATCGGCCAAGCACATAAAAACTGTAATACACTGAAAGATGCTTAAAGTTAACAAGTCAGCGAGAAAACCTGTGGCAAGGAAATCAACCTAGCACACTAGTGGAATATGCAACCATCACCCGACAGATGGGTTGAGTGTGCCAGGGTCAAGGCTCACTTTAAGACCATGGACCACACCTGCCCCATGCAGGTGGAGTTAGCAGTTCACATAGTTGTGAAAGGTGCATGTGTGGGGTCCGATCATTTATGATGGTTGAGATATTTTGACCTGGAAAGATAGGTTAATGAGAATATTTGCATATTAGTCTGTCCTGGAAATCAGGAACAAATTAAAAACCTCAAAGAAGCAGATTCAGAGGAACTATGAATGAAACCTATTATTCAACTTGAGCTAGCTCCCTGAGTGTCAACTCCCTATAGAATCTGCTGCTCATGGGACTCTGATTTTTTTTTTTTTTTTTTTTCCTGAGACTCTCTCCCTCTGTTTCCCAGGCTGGAGTGCAGCGGCACTATCTTGGCTCATTGCACCCTATGCCTCCTGGGTTCAAGCAATTCTCATGCCTCAGCCTCCCGAGTAGCTGGGATTATAGGCATGTGCCACCACGCCCAGCTAATTCTTTGTATTTTTAGTTGAGACGGGGTTTTGCCATGTTGACCAGGCTGGTTGCAAACTCCTGTTCTCGATCAGGAGTTCCAAGCCATCCACCCACCTCAGCCTTCCAAAGTGCTGGGATTACAGGTGTGAGCTACTGTGCCTGGATGATTTTCTTTTAAAAGATAAACCTATTTTCTTCATTGTTTTTGGCAGGAGAGAGCCAGGAGCTGCCTGACATACCTGGTGAGCCAACTGGCCAACATGGAGCATTCGTTTCACCATATTCTCCTGCTGGAGATTAAAGGCATCACCGACACCTTCTCCTCAATCTTGGGCCCTCAGAGCAGAGACATCTTTCGCATGAGCAACAGCTTCACCGCCATTGCTAAACTCCTTACCCGACAACTGGAAAATGCGAAGGCTGGAAGTGGCAGGTGAGCAAGAGCTTCTGTGTACCTCAGGGAGCTGCTGTGCACCTGTGGAGGTAGAATGCAGACAGCTAAGCCTTTCTAACTGCCAAAGGAAGCTAAAACCTGTATCTCAAGAGAGAATAATATCTGTACAAATTATGGCACTTGCCAGAATCTTTCTTCTAAATATGTGAAAACAAGAATGTAACAAAACAATAAAAAGGTTCACAAAATATGGTAAAGGAATAAGAACGTAGTACAAGGAATATTTTATAGCACCCGTTTATTTACTCAACAAATTTAACAATTTAAGTTGTCATACTGAATAATTTAACATAGCTTACTGCGTACCAGGAAGCTAGACACATATAGAGAGATAATAACATGTTCCTTGTATTCAAGAAGCTCACTGACTAGTATGAGATAAATATTTAAGTGCATAATGGGAGAATGGCAGAATGGCGGAAAGCTTATGCTTATCAACATGGGTTCAAGAGGCATGGAAAATACAGAGATGGAGTATCTACTTCTGTATCAAAGGGAGAGGGGTAGAAATCTGATATCAGAAGAGGTTCCCCTGAAGAGGTGATATTTTGAACCAAGTAGCGAAAGATGACCAGATTTCACCAGGCTGTCTTTCAGGCAGCATTTGAAAAAGCACTTTCTGGAAACAGAAGTGATTTTGTATGACTAGGGTTATGTCACAAGGAAAATAACATTAGGAGTGCTAATGAAGTGGTAGGCAGGGACCAGAGGATGACAGGCTCAACAAAGTGGACTAAGGAGTTCAACTTTACCCTCTAAGCAGTGAGGAGTGATTGTGGAGCTTCGTACATGGCAGGGTACAATCAGTCCAGATTTCAGGAAGCCCATCCTGGCCCCAGTGCAGAGGATGTCTCAGGAAGAGGCAGATGAGCCAGATCAAATGAGGGAAGAGCAGAAAAGTGTGCATAGGTGTTGGCCATGAGGAAATTATTGACGATTGATGTGAGGAAGCTGCCATTGGTGTGGCTAGCAGAAAACAGGGTGATGGGGGTTGCAGAGAGAGAGGACACAATGCACAAACTGGCCTTTTAAAGAAGCTTGTCTTTGGAAAAAAGTATGCAAGGCCATGCAAGATTGAGGGAGGGGTTTTATTTGTTTTGCTATGTTTTGAATAGAGAGAAACTTAAAAAGCTTTATGACCTTTAGAAGTTACAAAAGCCCTTTAAGTATGTAATCTCATTTGATCTTCATGACCATTCTACAGGCAAGAAGGACAGATGTCATTTACTCCTAGTTTATAGAAGAAGAAACAGAGGCTCAGATACTGGTTAAATATATTCCCAATGTTACACAATGACTAAGTGACAGAGGATGGACTCGACCGCATCTCCATAATTCAGATCACAGGCAATGGAAGGTGCACAGTTATGGAGGAGGGTGGGGCCATTTGCGACTAATGTCAAATTCTGTGGGGGTTTTTTGGAATAACAAATGATGCATGCCATTTCCAGTGTGAAACAAGAATTCCATGAGAGGTCATCTTGATAGAGTAGTGAGCATTTAGTCATTTGGGTCCACTTTATGTTCATCATGGTGTAGAGCCTGGAGGTCCTAAGAGACATAAGGTACTATCCTTACCATCAAGAGTCACAGTCAGAGGATGTGATGTGCATGGAGAAAAAGGAATGCACTCTCCAGCAGCCAGGGAGTCGAATATTTCACAGAGAAGGTAAAATTTAAGTTCATTTCCTATTTATTATCTTCCACATGCCAAGCATTTCTCTAAACACTAGGTCAAGTTGCACAGAATGAATGAAAATTCTTCAGATAGGGTAGAAAGGACACCACAAACAAACAACCAAAAATAAATAGCACATGCCAAGATACAAGGGCTTAATAGTATGTGCTCAGACTAAGGAAAGACAATTTGTTCAGTAGGGCAAGAAAGTAAGTTGAAAAGTTAGGTCAGAGGCAGATTATCAGAGGCCTTACATGCTATGTTAGAAGCAAGGGTTTGTTCTATAAGCAACATGTAAACTTGGAAAGATTTTACTCCAGAGAATGATCACAGCTCTTAGCACAGGAATTAGCAGATAGTAAGCACTCAAATATTTTCACCAAATGAATAGGTAAATCAGGAGTAACTAACATCATAAAGCATTGAATTAATTTGACTGGAGCACCCAGCTGGCAAAAGACAAACTGAGAGGTCTAGACAAAATGATGAGAGCCTAAGAAGTCAGGGCAGATCATTATAGTAGAGAACACAAAATTACGAGGAACTGATCACCTATTGGAGGTGGAGTAAGAAGAGGGTAGTGGATGAACACCCAGAGATATGTAGCTTAAGTGATTGCACAGAAATGGAGATGATACTGATAACCAAGAAAGGAGGTTGCAGGAGGGAAGCCAACCTGGGACGGCCTCTTAGCCCCTGCACAGAGAACATAATCTGACCAATAGTGTCATCAAAGTCAATAACTATTCACAGAGGTAGAGTCATTGTAAATGTCCTTTTCTTTCAACACAATGGGTTTGATCGAGCATATAAAAATGTGTTGTCACCTCATTTGATATACAGATGCCTATTAGAAGAGTTTCTTAACCTTGGTATTGTTGATATTTGGGCTAGACTGAGTCGTAAGGCTGCCATATGCATTATGGAATATTCACCAGCAGTGCTGGCCGCTACCCACTAGATGATAGAAGAAGCACCCCCTTTCAATTGTGACAACCAAAAATGTCTCCAGGTTTTGCTAAATGTCCCTGAGGAAACAAAAACCTCCCCCACTTGAGAATCACTACTATATACATATACCATTCAAAAATAGCATTTTCATAGACCCATAAGTTAACTGGCAATAAGCTAAACACGTGGCAGCATTCAGGAGAATCAAGACCAGCATCATTAAAAAGATTTGCCATTTATATGCACCCACAAAGTCGCTGTTGGACAATTTTAATAATGTGGTTTTAGAAATTTGGTTTACAGTCTCTGCAGCTGGTGTCTGAGGGAGCCATTCTGTGCTGTATGCACAGCTGAACTGTGTGTGTCTTCTCCAAGCCATGGCTGAGATGTGCCATAAGTGAAAGTTTGAGCCCATGTCCTGGCCAGTGCTCTCCTATTCTCTATTGTCCCTATGGACACAAGGTTTCAAGAGGCCAGTTGACATTTCTGAGATTATATATGTGAAAATCTTTACATAAAGAGAAAAAATATTATATAAGGGTGTTACTTAGGCATCTTAACAGGAAAATCCATTTTTAATAAGTAGGCCTGTATTAGTCCATTTTCATACTGTTGTAAAGAACTGGCTGAGACTGGGTAATTTATAAAGTCAAGAGTTCGGCATGGCTGGGAAACCTCAGGAAACTTACAATCATGGAAGAAGGCAAAGGGGAAACAAGACACCATCTTCACAAGGCAGCAAGAGGTGCCAAGCAAAGCAGGAAGAGCCCCTTATAAAACCATCAGCTCTCATGAGTACTCACTCACTATCGCGAGAACAGCATGGGGGAAACTGCCCCCATGATTCAATTACCTCCACCTGGTCTCTCCCTTGACACATGGGGATTATGGGGATTACAATTCCAGATGAGATTTGGGTGGGGACACAAAGCCTAACCATGTCAAGCCCAACTCAATTAGCAATGAACAATTTCCCCAAGAAAAGAATTTAGGAGATATGTAGATAGGAAGAAAAAATAAGGTCCTACTTGAAAATATGAGTCTGCATATATGAGAATGCATTTAAAATATTTTTAAACTATTTTTCTGAGGTTAGAGGGCAGGAGAGTAGGAAACAAAGAAAGAGCAAAATGAAATATAAAGAGATGAAAAGGTCACCACTCACCTCATACCACTACTGCCATCATCCCCCACCTCAACCTCTCTCAACTGAAAATACTTCTCTCAGTTCAACCCTCATTGTCAATCTTCTTCAAATTGATTGTAATTATTCAGTGGGAATCTCTAAACCCTCGTGTGGACAGCCAGTCTTTTGTCTGAATGGCTCATCCTCTCTGGGATGGTTGTTAAGGCTTCTCTCCCAACATCTTTTCCTTGAATACCCTTCATTGTGACCATTTAACTTCAGTCATTTTAATCTCTGCCCTCAAAGCAGAAAGGTCTACACTTTTGTCGAAAGCATGCAGCAAAATCTGATCCTTACAATTAAAGGGGAAATGAATAAGTGAAGAGAGCTTGAAAGAAAATTAAAGATGATAAAATTCAAAACAGATGTCATCTAATTTACAAAGCTGACACATAGCCCAGCAGGCCAGATTTTAGACTTCAGGCCAAAACTACAAGATTATCAAAAGAAAAACAATTAGCATCCTAGAGAGAATGAAAAACTGAAGCAGACAGGAGCCTTTCTTGTGCCAAATGACTGAATAAATTGAGTGAGTTTTGTTAGAAGCACCAGGTGAGCCCACTTGCACTTTTCCTGCTCCTGTTTTAGAAAGCATGTTTATATGTAAATAATAAACCAACAGAGGCTAAATAACAGGACAGCCAAGCAAAGCATTTATATTTTTTAAATTAATTCTGCAGAAGCAAAAGTGTACAAGAGCTATTATGCATTGAAAAGGAGAAGGTGTCAGGTTGGAGAAGAGATCTATACCTTTCAATACCGTGCAAGTCCTAGCTACCCCTAAACATCAAGCTGTTTGTCTGCCAGGACCCAGTTGAAGCTGGAGAGGGAGAGGGTGAGCTCAGGGCACCTCTGTAACTGACTGAGCCGAGCAGTGGAGTGATCATTGCCTAGAAGATGCCTTTGCCAAATGAATGTGGCGCCAGGGAGGCTGCTATAATCAGGCACCATCAGAATGGGGGCAATTTGTCACAGGTGGTCTTAGTAGGCGGTTACGCTCAGGCCCCAGTTGGGGATGGAAACTTTGAGGGATGGAATTTGTGGAAAGAAAGCAGCAGTGGGAGATAAATTTGAGGAATGAAAAAAGATAGGGAGAGAGGATGATGATGGCAAAAAGCAGAAGGGGAGACCTGAGGAAAAAGGAGAAAGGGTCCTGACACAGGC